AAAAAAGCAAGAATCAAGGGGGGTTGGGACTTGGGAGTTACAGTTGAGGAGGGGAGAGTAAAATAATTTTGTGAGATTTCCATAATTATTTGGGGTATATAATGGGATTTCCATAAAAATGGTGGGAGCAATTATGGAAATATTTGGAAGAGCTCTTTTATCCGGAGTGGTAAAAAGAGAAGGGTAAGAAAAGGTAAGAAAGAGGGGATGCGGGGAACCAAAAAAAACCGGGTCCGAATGGGGTGACAGCTAAGCACACTGATTGGCTCCAGTTGGGGTTGCATGGGAAGCTGTGTGGGCTGTAGCTGTTTGCTGTATCATCATTTTTTTTTTTTGGTTAATTTTTGCTTTTATTCTTTTCTTTTTGTCCTGTCAGCTCTGCCCTCTACTTTTTTTTTTTTAAATATTATTATACTATTAATTACTTTGCTGAAATTTTGCCCTTTGTGGTCTTTCTCATGGTATATTATTTTTTATTTTTTATTAATACAAATGGAGGGAGATTTGCGAGACACATATTTTAGGTCAGTTGAGTTAAATACATATTAGCTGGTCAATTCTATTACCCAATTAAATAATAATCACTTTGCCATTTAAAAATGATGATGGGATCTTTTGAGATGATAATATATATTTTATGTACTAAATTTTGTAATTGACATAAAAAATGTATTACATTTGGTGTATACATATCAACAATTCGAGCATAGTTCATACACCAATTATTGATCCAATCGAACTCGCTGGGCACGTGTTAGTTGTAGGAAGATGGTTCTAAAAGTGACTTCGGTTCGCCAGTTCAAGCTCAACTACTCGCTTATGTCGAGGCAGCGAACAACAAGACTACAACTCAATTTTGGCTTTTCCCTCCACGAGATGAACCCAGTGCATTGGATCTATGGATAAGAGAACGGAGGCTCTACGTACGATGTAGACTCCATTAGATACATATCGATTTCGTTCTGATTGATCAATAATATATCGAAATAGGAGATTTCTCCTTATTATTGATGGATTCCCTCTCGAGACATTTTGACTCTTTCGATCTATCAGAACAGATCAGACTATTGGTTGGAGTTATATACTAATTATTACTAAGTTATGCAAGCTTTAACACTTTTCTTAGTTGAATAGCTATTAATTTGATGATTTAGGATATTTAGTTTGGATTTATATATTAAAACAGTTGGAATTCTTTTTATATCCACTTGTGTCTTTTTCAAAACCAGAAAAAGAAAAACAGAGTCAAATTTGGGATTAATGAAGAACAAATTCACTTAGTGCCATAAAAATTATATCTATCCATATATACTAAACTAAATACTACATTATAGGTTCAAAATAAATTATTCCCTTTTCAAAATTTCCTTTATTTTCTTTATTTTACAGAATTCTTTTATTTTTTTTAATAATTTATCAAAAATAGAGATTTTCATTTTCATGATATATAATAAGATAAATAAGAAGAGCCATGCCAAACGCAGTCTCGGCCGCAATCTGATGGCGCGCCCACCGGTAGCGCAATCGCCAAACCTTTTCAAATAAAATATCAAATTAAAGGACGAAGATGAAAAAAAAACCTCGCATCATCCTGGCGTGAAAGCCACGCGCCTTCCCATTAGCCATCGCCCTTTACGAAGTTCCCCCCTACAAACGCGCGCGTGGGATTCGAGGATGCTGTGCTGTAAAGCGACAAGTTTTTGCCAACTGCCTAGCCAATGTTAAATTACTTAATTAAGCCTTTTTTTAATATTGTTTAAAAAGGGTAAAATAGAGATTCTGATGCAGAAGGGAATCAGGTGCTTCTAGTATACACACTTTATTGGTGTGATTGACCTGGTCTGGCGCCACGTAAGACCGTGGAATTTCAAATCTGGCAGCAGCTACTCCGCCAGCAATCCGGGCTAAATTCTTTCAAATATTCCTCAAATGGTTTTTTTTACTATTTAAATAATTACGAGTGAATTTAACCTAAGATTATATGCCAAAATCTCAACTTTATCATAAGATAATAACCAAAATTTATATGATTCCCCAACTTTACTCTATGTTCATGAATAAACTGAGATGTAAGTTGAAATTATATTTTTTTATCTCCCAATTTTCATTGCGTATAAACTAGTTCGAACGCTCACGGATATAAATGAAAAAAATATCATTTAACTTTGAATACTATTTTGACAGTGTAGTTTTAATTTTGGTTTATTTTAGTTTATGTACTTGAAAAAAATTGTCTTTCATTTTTAAAAGTGATCTTTTATGTCCTTATTAACGTAAATTTTATATATACGAAAATAAAAAACATGCGTTTTGAAAATACATGAATTAAAATGAACCAATCTATTTTTATATTTATTGCTCAGATTTTGTATTATATTTATCGAATTCAATTTATATGGTTAAAATGCAAGTCTTCAAATTGGTGTATGACTTTTCAATTATAGTACTATAAAATATAATTTTTTTAGTTTTATCCTAAAGTATGTATTGGTTAGAAGTTAGAATAACTTGTGATAAGGATCGTCGTTCTTTCCATTTGAAAAATAATATAAGCATGAACATACGAGGACATAGAATAAAAGAATGAAAGTGAATAGGTTATATATTACTAGAGAATGTTATATCCATAATTATTGTATAATTATAGATGAATGAAATTGTAATAAGATCAGCTATATTTTTTCATATGACAAAATTGTTAATAACAAAGGACTAACTAATGAGATCATCATCATTATGGCAAAGTTGAAGAATACAAGTCTAAGTTGAATTTTTGTTTTCTTCTATGGA